TATTTTAAAAAAACTGGCTGAATTTTTGCGTCTGAGGTCAGTTTGAAATCAAAATCGTAATAGTGCGGAGGTACTGACATAAACATAACATATTTGATTTGAATTTAAAAAAAAAGTTAACGTGAGCCTGCGATCATTTGAAAACGAGTAAATTGTCAGCGGATAACTTCAAAAAATACTCGACCTTGATGGGTTGACACCTGAGCCCGCGATATGGTCAGGTGATACTGGTCAGTGGATACCCTGTTTTGACAGCTGTCAATTGATGACAACATTGATGTGCAATCAGCTTTCTCCTGGGCTCCCAAAGTAGCTAGAAAGTGAGATAGTAAACATCGGTATGCCTGTGGTGCGGACGGACGGTCGGTCGGTCGGTCGCTTGGTCGGTCGGTCACGTGATTACCAAATTTTCTGGGATGGGTAGATTTATTTATACCCATGGTGGTCCGCTGGCGCGCTTCGCGCGCGGAGCTCCGCTATTATTCGTTTTACAACTGATTCAATCCTCGAATGTACAGAATTAGCTTTTCATGTAGAATATGAAAGATTGGTAAGTGATCAGAAAGATAATTAAACAAAAGTCCAGCTGTGTAGTCCTTATCAATGCCATCTGTAAAAATGTTATCAATCAATGTGGCCGAGTTTGGTGTTGTTCTGGTAGGCTTATAGATTGTTGAATCAAAATGAGAGCTAGAGGGCAGCTCGAAAAATCTGCTAGCATAATTATTGCATCCATACTTTAGTAAATCGATATTTAAGTCTCCAATGAGCAAGCATAACTCATTCTCCGTGTCAATTTTTTAAAGGATTCTTGAAAATTCTATTTCAAAATTCGTTGCATTTATCATTGGGTGGTCTATAAATTGTCCCTATAATGGTATTTTTACTCATTTCTGTAAAAACACTTTCTCAAATATCTTCCCTAAACAAATTTAAGTCTTGCTTAACTTTGTATTCATATTTATTGATACAAACATCCCTAAGCCTTCCCCTGTTTTCTTTTTCCTGAAATTTTTCACGAATGAGTAGTCTGGCAGTTGAGTCAAAGATTCTGATTTATCGTTAAGCCATGTTTCACTAATACCTATAATGGTCAATTTATGGTTTATGTCCGATTGAAGCTGTTCAGTGTCATCTTGCTTATTCAACAAGCTTCCAACAGTCAGATGCAGTAATGAGAAGTTATTATCGTTTGTATGAAATCTTGACACAACTGTTTACATTTATCTACATGGTGATAATCACATTCTGAAATTTGATCATTAACCCTTCTAAGGAGACGCGATTATATCGTCAATTAACAAATGGTTATCATTTTGTAAATTGAGTTTAAAAGGATAAATGATATTTTGTTGAAGTCTATAAATTTTTTTTGTCAATTGTTCAATATATGTGTCTGTTGAACCTATAGTCTTTGAAAAGTCTTCATCGTTTAAACAATTAAATGGGATGGACTGTAGTTGACGTCGGTGCACGTAAAATCAAGGGAATCAATGGACAAAGACACAGATATCATGTGAAAAATTTATCAGTCATTCCAATTTTATTATAAAAATCCTTTAGTAGACAATTTTTTTTGCAGATTTCAGCTGTACGCACGAGCGTATGTGCGTTTATGGACGCTAAGCTCCTGCTGTACAAAATAGTGCCCTAAAGAAAAAAAAACTTTTAAAACAATTAGGAAAGACTTATGTACTATATACAAAAGAAAGGTAGTCTTTATATACATAATCTGCACACTGATCCAATTCTGTAATCTAATTTCAACAGCAATTCCTTAAATATTGTAAATAGGAGTGTAACAAATCTGCGTAACAGGGCAGTGACAATAAAAGTATTTTAATTACAACAGACAGGCTCACTGAATGGTGCATCTAGTTCTTCATTTAGCATAAATGATCCCACGTGGAAAAAAAGCACAATTAAAGATCATTGGTGTGACGAGCAAAACACCTAACAGATGGCGATGATGTTGTCCCTCCGATAACTGCCCCTGACGAGATATATCCCCGTGTCTTTCAATTTCATTTACCAGCAAGGCACTTATTGATCAGATAAGGGGTTAATATATAATATTCACTAGCACTTATTGAGTGTTAATTTTTTTCATCTACAAAATTAAGTATTTATCAATTATTTAGCCATTGCGCGGCTGTTTTAGCTGTAATGTATAAATATAATTGTGAGTATGAAAATTTTTTCCCTTTTGTTATCATTGTTATTGAAAAATTTGTAATCATTTTACAGTAATTATTGTAGTAAATGTCTTAAATAAATAATATTAAAAAAGATCAGATAAAGGGACGCTCATTTAATTAAATACGACGTAGGAAAATATGTCATAGACCATACACGCTTAACAAAAATATTTCATACGAATGTGACGACACACCCCTTTCTTGAATCAATTCTCAGGTGTGATTTTCCTAACTTCCTCTTAGCGCCCCCTTTCAGCTAAATAGTCACGTGGTAAAAGAACACCTCAACGTGGAGCAAGTAACGCAGTGAGGGAAAACTAGGGAGTTACATAAATGGCATTTTCCTTCTTTTTGAAGGTCACTCTTGTGTTGTTTGTGTCCCAGCGAGGTTTATTTGAACCATGTGATGATAAAGCTGTAAAGGGCTTATTGTTACCCATTACACCAACTTTTTATTTCAGCTGGCTTTCAATTATTACCTGAAAATATCAATCTTATAAATGTGTTGAAGAGAGCTATAATCCACTGAATGAAAAAGGAAGATAAGATATGGGAAATTATCCATTGAGTTGGGAGCTTGAAAAGGATTAATTCCTGCATCAAATGAGATGAAATGAGTATTTGGCCAATGAGATTGCCTTGTGCTTTCAAGAGCAGTCCTACTGCTGTCCCTGATATCGAGGCAGGCATACCTTTGAAGAAATTCTCCTGAGAATCGAAACAAAAAGAAATTATGGTCGTGTTCGATTGACCGTATTCCGTAATAAAAATAAATGGAATAAAATGTAGAAATCACTTGTTTTGGCATTATTTGCATTGCAATATCTAGAAGACTGCTCGAAATAGAGTATTCCGGTGTCTGTAGATTTTAAATGGTCCAGAAATCATGATGAAAGTGATTTGTAAAATAACGGAATTCAATCGAATCGTACCCTATATAGCGCTCAATCGCGTTCTTAAACGTGAGGTATGACATTAGTCAATTCACCGTTCCTTGCACAGTATTATAGTTAGTAGAGAAGACTGGTTAAGAAAGGAGGCAAACGTTGTTTTATTTTGTTTTCTATTCACAAATTGTCTTTGAATAATTTAATGCGACCCGACATTTGTGTTAGTCAATAGAATCAAAATGATAGGAATGCTATATGGAACAGGTCAGGTTCACAAAAACATATAAGAGAGGAGTCTGACGGGCGTCATAACCATTCCGCTCTATCAACTATGACAGTAATAATTGCAATACTAAATAAAGCCAAAGACATTGAAATTGTGCATTAGAGTTACTTAATCGAGAGGCAAAGTAAAATAAGCATTCAGAAAAGCGGACTTCCAACAGTCTCAACCTTCAGGATTAGCCTCAAAAGGGTCTTTTATATGTGGCGTCTACTGGCGAATTTGGTTACGTCTGTTCTTAAATGGGTTCTAATCCTCTTAGCAGGAAAATGTACTTAATGCTGGTCTAAACAGGCATGGTCCTCTCGTTAATTAAAAAGTAATTAAGACTATTAATCGGCCACCCTCGGGGTACCCACAAATGGAAGTTGGCCACTTAATAGAGGTTCCACAGAAATTATAATAATCTTTAGCAGAAACGTCACTTTATTTTAAAACAGACAAGCGGTGGCAACGGCATTATTGGTCCACAATCAATGGTCAGCTACTATCTCGGGTTATAGCTTCCTTCATGTAGTTAAAATAAAGCCAAACTAAGGGTATCAAGCACTCGATGGCCTCTAAATACAAGCGACAGCAATAGCAAAACTCTGGTTGGGATAGCCAAAAGGTGGCCGCGGCCGCTTAATAGAGGTTTAATTTACGATCATTTTCTGGAATAATTGCAGAATTAATTTGATGTAATCTGTAACAACACATAGGGTAACCTACCTTACTAATATCAGGAATCATTCCTTTGGCGGAGGAGATTACTCCTCTCGAGAGCATGGGAGTCGTGTTGGGAATGTAGTTAGTAACACTTGAGACCTTTATGCCAGCGCCAGACGATTTTCCAACCACGTCAGTTGCTTTTAATCGTGCCACCTAGAAAAGAACAAAGAATAAGGTCACTCGCTTAGACGGCTTGGTCACTGTCAATGCTTTATTTACCTGAGGATTATTTACTGCATTAGACACTAACGATATATTTGCAAGCATGAAATGTTCATTTCCAATCAAGTTAGTTACTTCAGACCTTGACAAGGGTTTCCATTGGTTTCCAAGTAAGGACTCCGTATAGCCTGCGCCACAGACGCAGGTCCCTCTGCGAAACTTCAGTCCGTCTACGAAACAGCGCCGAAATCCGCGTTCTGGACCACCACCAGTGTACCAGGATTTGAGTACGCGCCATGATTGGCCTATTAAAAAGACATTGCCAATCATGTTGAGGGGAATTTGAAACGCATCTCCGGTTATTCGTTATGTCTGTTGGGGGTCCAGAATAGGGACATCGGCAAAGGGGAGAATTACGTATATCCCATGATGCTTCGCGGCTAATTTCCTTCTCTTCGCGTGGAAAGAGCGTTCGCGGCCTTTCGACCTCGCGATTTTTATGGGTTTGACCGAAGGCTTCAATTTCCTTGTGCTAAGTCCCGCGAAAATGGGGCTTTTTTTCCCTTGAGTTCGCTCCTTTCTCTCTAATCAAAATACAAACATGAGCTCTTGAAGGTACGATGAATGTTTAATTTCAGTGGTTTCTAGTATTAAAACCTTTTTTGTTTCATTATTTTAGGTAAAATTGGTTTCTTATGGTGGCTTCCGGTCGCAAACGCTCGGGACAAACTTCAAATATACAGGCCAGCAAATGTCATGGAATGGTATGCTGTAGGACCTCAACCGGCGTATAAAACCTTTGAAGACATTTTGATAGTTCTCTTAGGATCCATTGTAGTGAATGAGTGAGTGTGTTTGTGTACGTATTTTGCCACTTCTAACATGTAATAAAGCTTATTTATGTTTATGTTTGACAATGATGCTTAACCGGTGTTGTGTTACGAAAAATGTCTCTGTTATTTTTATTGTTTTATTTGAACTATGCCTTGCCTTTGAATTTTATCTACGATAGACGTCACTTTGTACTTTGACGATGTCGGTATTTTTGACTGTATAAGCCGAGCTTGTTGAAGTAATAGCATGTGCAGTCACCGTACGGTTGACGAATTCACTATGGAACTAACAATGAGCACCGCGATCACAAACAAGCCGAAGAGAAATAGTACACCTAGAATATATATTTATTTCAAGACAAGTACATGGAAATCGCTTGTTAATCCATGGAGAGCTTTATCAACGTACGTTTAAACAAGACGTACTTAAGCAAAGACCTTCCTCGCTAGTTTCAAAGAACAATTGCGTAGACTGCCCTGCAATCGTACGGCTAGTTAACTAATATCGGCAACCAAGACACACTTTGACTTCGCTTTCCACTGTTGTTCAACTGTCGTGTCCCTGTTGAACCGATCGATAGGATCACGTGCGTTCGAAAGCTTGGTAATATCTTATGAAGCGATGCATCATGGGAAACATGAAATTCCTCCTTTTGATGTCGGCGCTGCTTCACCAACGTTACTAACGGGGATGAGATTACGTCTGCGACGCAGGCTAGGCTACGAATTACGATCGGGATACAAGATGGGGTGATTTTGCGTTTTGGCGTTCGGGATATGGCGTTTTCTAGAACCGAGATCCGGTAAGGAAAGTGAGCAGCATTTTCTTAAGACGAGGGAAAAGCTCTTTCAGATTTACTCCCCATAACTCTATTTGCCGCAACTCGGTGAATACAGTTTTCGCATCCTGTTATCTGCCAGGGGTCTGCTTATAAGAAAACTTAGACCACCTGTAAGGCCCTTTTTGAATATAATATAATTTAAGCGAGGTTAAACACGACACAATGCTGGTCAGCGGTGTCCATCACTCATCGTATGTGGGGCGGTCTTGGGCTCTAGCGGGGCTCTAGTAATTTTACAGCGCTTTTGTTCAGGTCATCATTTCGATCACGTTGCCTGCGCGTGCAGTAGATTTAGCCGGTTTTGCTGTGTTTGAGTCTCCTGTTGTGTCGTCGCAGTACCGTGTACGATACCGTTTTCGATATATGACCTCGTGTTCGACGTATAACAGATCACAGTCGCTGTTCGATGACAGCGGGATTAACGCCACGATCTCTGAATCGGATATTGTGGCGTTAACCTCGCAGACAGTTCAAGCTGCCAGGGCGGCCGAACGGGCCAAAGTTTTGTCTTCGACACTGTCTCCAGGGAGTGGTTCGATTGCCTCTGCTACAATTGGGGGCGTTCCCGTGATGTCCGCATGTTCACTGACTCCAGCGACGATTATTGCCCAACCATGTGCAGGTAGGGCTGTTTCATCCTCGTCTATTATTGTGCCGTGGTTCGCTTCGACCTTCGCTGCCGCCGCGATGTCCGCTCGTTCACTTGCATCTTGCGCGGCCAGTTTTCTCGGCGGGCCTTCTCGGAACTCAGGTCATGTAGCTGTGGCAAGCGTGCTTCAACCTCCTGCTCTGGCCTTAGCTGATCAACTGTTTGTTGTTGGGCCCGGCGTTTCTCCAGTTCTGGCAAAAATTTGTTTCGCAGATCAGATCTGTGCGGTCTGTTGCCTCGAATCTGCCGCTTTAAGAGCCTTAGTCCCAGCCTCATAGCATAGCCCGAAAATCCCCCGCACGCATCGGCATTTATTTTTAGTAGTAGTGTAGGGCTGGCTTACGATCACGCCTTTCGCGAGCACGCGGCGGCAACCAAGCTCACGGAGCCTCTGCTCGTACGCCCTAGTTTACCAATTCTCCTGACTGGGAACCTGCGGGTTCTTAGGGAAGCTTAGTGGTTTGCAAGTTCTGGAACAGGGGGCGTTGCACTTTGCCTCTCTCTATCTGTCGTTACGCGCCCCTGCTCCTCCTGCTCTGGTTCTCATCGCGTAATTGTTTGCCCATTCTAGTCGCTTCCCCCTCGTCAACAGCAGGTTCCTCCTCGGGAGAGAAGTCCCAACGTACCTAGAGTGTTTGCGTATGGACTGATCTGTAAATTAGGGACACTGTCCCCTTTTTGTTTTATTATTTGTTTTTTGCTTTGTATCATTGATTTCAGTTGTCCTCTTATGTTTGTCAATCCGGTATTTTTGCGGTTTTGATTTGTTACATTCTCTCGGTTTTCGCATTTTTTAGCTTAGTACCCCTTCTCACCCCATGGGAGGTTCCTTATTGTTAGCTTGTTACCGTGACTTAATAATGGTCTGGTATTGTGATCCTATGCGGGAAATTAGCTCAATTTTGCTTCTGATCAATTCATTGTTCATATCATGTTTTTGGTTTGCAATTTGCCACCTGCTTGCGAAGCTTTTTGTGTGTTGTAGAGATTTTCTTAAAAGTGTTTGCCTTTCACTCAGAGTATTCCCTTTTCTTGCTTTATTCTTCCCTTAGTGTCTCCCTCACTTCCACCTAGTCTCGGTGGTGAGTCCCTTGGAGGTCGCGGAATTTGCGAGGGAATTGAGCTCCCCGATCAAGAGGCAGTGTCGTATGTCCATAATGGGCTTCAGCACAGTTTTTCGGTTGGAGTTCCAGCATAATTGTAGGTTTTAGCCTGGTAAATCGAACATACTTTCCGCTCGTCAGCACCCTGCCGTTCTTGACGATTGTTTTGCTAAGGAGGTCGCTCTTCACCGACTTGCAGATCTTTTTGCATCCCTTCCTCTCCCTAATCTTCGTGTTCACAGTGTTCGGGTCATAACTATAAAAGGCCAGCCCGGAAACGTTCCCCAATGGGTCCAGTGTGAAAAATGGTATAAAGGTAGAGGGTTTTTTCCATGCAATACATAACGGTCGATCAGATTATACACATGGTATCAAAGTATGGGCCTGGGACGTTAAGAGCTAATTTTGACATCAAGGCAGCATGCCGCAATATTGCCGTGCACCGGCTGATCGTTTATTTTTTTGGAAGGATGAAATGGCGGGGCAAGTACTTCGTTGATTTAACCCCCGTTATTTTTAATTCAGTTGCAGGCATGATGGAATGGACGATGTTGAACATTCACCACCTCTCAGATTCCCTTTCTCGACGACTTCGTTATGGCAGGACCTCCCGACTCAGTTTAGTGTGCGCTCAATTTGCAAACTGCCATGTCTGCTCATTCGTTTCCGCTGGAGATCCCTCACTCCCTACCGGCAGGATTTGATCAATCCACCCTCGAGATGGAGTGCCAATAGTTATTAATGGAGGTGCCAGCTCTTACCAACCGCAACTCGTACGCATTTGTCCTGAACAGATTCGTGGGGTGCGGCGCACAGCTGGGACAACTAGGCCCAGACGGGTCTCCGTGCAGGGCGGATGAATGGACATTCAGTTTGTTTGTCACTTGGCGCGTAAAAGTTCACTTGTCTGCCGTCCTCGCTCTTCATATCGAACAAGCCTTTCTGGACTCCCTTGTGGATTACCTCGGGGTGTAGAGAATGTTCCGCGGCATCAAACGATTTGTAGAAGAAGCTGGGTCTACTCGTCACCCAGTCACAGATCAGACTCTATTACTTATTTTGAAGGCTTTAGATTTGAGCAAAAAGGATCCTACCATGTTTTGGACGGCTTGTAACCTGCAGATATTTTGGTTTTCTTTGCTCTTCAGTGTTCACTGTTCCGAATCTGGGCAGTTTCTCCCCTGAAATTCACTTGAGCCTCGCGGACATTGGTATTTACCCTTGTGATACGCCTACATGTTTTCGTGTTAGTCTGAAGGCCTCTAAAACTGAGTTTTTTCGCAAGGGTTGTCTGATCCATCATTGGAAAAGGCAATCCCCCGCTTTGCCTATTAGGTTGCTTATGTTTTATCTAAGAATTAAAGGAAACGGAGCTGGCCCGATTTTCCTCTTTCAAGATGGCAAGACCTTTGTCCCGCTCCACGCTTACAGATTAACTATGCAGGATTCTGAAGGGGGATGGTGTCCAAGGATCTTTTTCAAGCGACAGCTTCTGACTTCGTGAGCGAGGGAAGTTGATCAGTTGGAGGTCCAAATTTGCGTCGGTGGTCTGAAGCTTCTGGACTTGCTGCTCTCCCAGTTTGCTTCTCCTCCAGCAAGAACGTTGTGTCCGATTCAAGAAAAGCTGGTCAAGCTTGTTTCTTGGTGGCCTCTTCTTCGTCGTAGGGAATTTAAGATAGTTCATTACGGTAGGCTGGGACGGTTGGATGCGTCTACGGGCGGCCTGGGGCCATGACGGTAAGAAGGCGCGAAAATTTTCACTATAAGATCGGACAACATAACAGAGGACTGTGAAGTTATGTGCGAAACTCGCTTGTAATTTCTTTCGCAAAAGGCTCCATTACTGAAGAGTTTCTTATTTTCGAAGAATACCAGTCAGGAGAATAAGGGTACAAATTAAAGCAGCTAGTTTTCAAAAACTAGTCGATGTTTTTATTTGAACTTTCCTTTCCTAAGCCAACACCTTTTTGGTTAAAGAAATCTTTTCTTGATAAAAAAAAGGAGGCTACAATCATAACTGTTAGGCCCAGTTCAAACGTCGAACTTCTCATGTGCCGAAACTAATGCACAAATTACTAACATTTATTTTCACTTGTTTAAAGCATTCGAGACCTTGAACATCGTGAAAATGAATCTAGTTCGACTAATTAAGTTCGACGTCTAAATCAACTTCGAACTTATATCGTTTGGGTCGACCTAAATAGGTATTAAGTTCGGTACATAAAAAGATCGCCGTTTGAACTGGGCCGTACCTTTCTTTTCGGCAATTTTCCTCTGCCATGGACAACACTGGGAAGAAAACAAGCAGTCGCCATGCGGCCACCAGCTAAGTTATGAATGAACGCAGATATTTTCGCTTTTTTTTATTTCACCGATAGGTAAATCAATGTAAACACAAGCCAACGCATATTTAACCCATTGGCTACTGAGTTTTAGAAGAAAAGTGTCAATACATATGCATGAACTCTTATCGGTTTCACCATTGTCTTTACGACGAGAAACCCAGCGAAAACATAGCGTCCCAGAAGGACAACGGTAAAAGGTCACGCGTGTTTTGCGTGACGTAACATCTATCCAACCGTCCCAGACGACCGTAGTGACCTATCTTAAATTCCCTAGTGTCTTTCGTACGGCGGTCACTGGTTGACAGGTGTCCTTTTTTACGCATCCTGTCAGCAGTGTTAGGTATTTCGCGGCTTCCACGGCCCTGCTGGCTGCCTCCCCTTTAGTCGTGTCAGTTTGAATTGCACCTAACGACAGCTTGCGCCTCGGCTCTGGCGAACGTGCTTTAGGTAGGTATTAGGGCCTCTAGTCTTCTTCAGTGTTGAGTAGCTTTTCGTTTGTTTTATTGTGAGGAAGCTTGGGGTTGGTGTTCGATGCCTTTGGGGGAACCAGGTCCTGTGAATCCCCTTGTTCCCGGTCCCTGGTTTTTTTTCTCGAAGCACCTGTAGACTGGTTTGAGTAGTTGCCGCTCACAGGGCTGTCATGGTTACCTTGCAAGTTCGCTTGCGGCTCCCTCAGTTTCACCAGTCACCTTCCACACACCCATCTTGCTGGGAGACAATGCTAAACTGGTGGCTCCGTCACAAATCGTATGTGGGGTGGTCTTGGGCTTTAGTAGGGCTCAAGTAATTTTACAGCGCTGTCGCTGAGGTAAGCGTACAGTAGCTTTAGCCATTTTTGCTCTCAGCACTCCCTGCCCTCCAGCATCTGCGAATTTCTCCACTAAGGTTCTCAGTGTGACGGTGCCTGGTGGTTACCGCCCACAGGGTTGTCACGGTTGCCTTCCAGGATCTCTTGCGGCTTCCTCAGTTTCAACAGGAAACTTCACCACACCCATCTATTGTTGATAGGTTTAAAGAAAAGCTAACATTTTCAGCCCTCCGGTTCCTTGAAGTGTTTTACCACTGTATTACAATTTTTAGGTGTGTGTCTAATTGGTCTGTGCTTAAGATTGCATCTTCCTTACTTACGGATTTCGCTTTACATGTTTTACAATAGACACAACAGGTGGTTCCATTAGATGAAGTCTGTAACAACATAGAGGGTAACCTACCTTACTAATATCAGGAATTATTCCTTTAGCCGAGGCGATTTCTCCTCCCGAAAGTATGGTAGTCATGTTGGGAATGTAATTAGTACTACTCAAGACGTTTTTGTCAGCACCAGATGATTCTCCAACCACGTCGGTTGCTTCCCCCCCAAATCCTGTCAACTAGAAAACAACAAAAATAGAATTAACCTCTTGGATTGCTCAGTTACTCCATGATGGCCTTTTTTTACCTAAGGATCAGTACTGCATACACCAAAGACATGTTAGCCAGCAGGAAATGGTCATTTCAGATAAAGTCAGTTACACTCAGACCCCGTTAATACGGGAACCGAATGCCTTAAAAATTGCCTGTATCAACGGGGTGTTCGTATTTTATATGAGGATCATGTTGCTAAAGTTAAAAAAACGCCTTTTATAAGAACAAAGTACTAAAGGAGGACATTAGGGAAATTAGGACATTAGGACATAAGCATCGTCAAATTAAACATCTCTAACTTTCACAAAGTCGTCATTCCGTTGACTAAATCTACGGGAACACTCAAAAATTGTTCATTTATTTACTACTTAATCAGGAGCCCATGGTCATGGTCATGGGTCATGGGCTCCTGTACTTAATCAAAATCGTTCTCTGTATAACTAATTTGATGCCTGAAAATAGTCTGAAATTGACGTCTACAAATCATCGCATCCGGTGTACTGCAGCGCTGGAAACATTCACAAGCTAGATTTCTTATTGCACCCTTGCTGGTAGATGAGAGAGTCTCCGACGGTTATCAGTTGCCAGTTATCAGTTATCCACCTTCTCTAACTGCGCTCTGGTGCCAGTGAGGGTGAACTCAGTCTTCCCGTCATCGATCTTCAGCCCGTCAGTAATCATCCACTTCCGTACGTCCTGCAGTATACAGGCTTCCATGGCAACAACAGCCAAAACTTGAGTAGCGAGGTCGTCTGGTCTAAACGCTAGGTAAAGTTCTCTATCGCCAGCGTAGCAGTATACGGAAGGTAGGTGCTTGGTGACGATTTTAAACAGAGAGCTTGTGTACATGGAATTTAACTGTAGAAGGCCTAAATGTAATAAAGTCCTCAATGTAAAAACAATTTGCCCTAAATGTAACAAACTCTTAAGTTACCAATTACAGTAACTACTCGAATAGGTGCCGCCCTCAAATAAGCGCCGCATTTAGGAGGGAGTTAATTAGCGCTTCGGCGCTTATTCGTGTAAATTCGGTACATTTCCTTATGCACTGTGAAACTTAACGTTTACAAATAAATTGAATTGCTTGTAAACGACAAAGTAACAGTATTTTTCTAAAAAAGCAATATTTAAGCAAGAGACAGTTATGCAAACCCGCGACTTCGTCACGGGTTTGCATAACTGTCAAGAATTCTCCCAACCCCTCGAGTGTTTATATCAGGCTATGCAAACACAGGAAAAAAGTTTTCTATTGCTTTTATAAAATAACTTTCCCAAGAAAAAAGAAAAACTCTTTGTTTAGGTTACTGATTAAAAGAGAAATTCTTACCAGTCGTGAAGTCTTGTACACGAAGCTTAATGTACGTGTAATCAGTTCTTATTTTGCAATAAAGATGCTTTCCAAAAAAGGGTTTTTCTCGCTTAAAATGTCAGCTTAAGCGAAAAAAAATTGGCACAGCATGTTTGTAAAGATTTTCCGTCAAGTTTCATCCGACGAGGGAATGGGTAAATAAAGTAAATTTGTCTAGTTTTCATCTCAAAAACATTTTAAAATTCGTGCTTGTGTGATTAGCGCGCGAAGAGCAAAACATCTTGACTCCACACATGTTTACATACTCTCATGCAAACACATCTCTCGGCCAATCAGAGCGCGCGTGTACTATCTTAGTTATTTATAAACGTTGTTATCAGCTGTGCTGTAGACTTCTCGTTTTTTGTTCTTAATATTTCAGCTGATTTATAGATCTCTTTTCTAGAGATCCAACGTAGACAAGTGACAGGATGTTCGGCCACGGTTTTTGCAGTAAATTTCTTTAACAAAAATGAAGTATGAAAAACTTTTTAGGGCTTACAAGTCTTTTTTTAATTATTTTTTTGTCCCTTTACAAGCAATTTATTTGTAAACGTCAAGTTACACAGCGCATAAGGAAATGTACCGAAGCTTATTAAATTTTTTCTCCAAAAATGCGGCGCTTATTTGAGGGCGGGGCTTAAAACCATAGTAATACCTCTTAGTACCGTATTTACGCGAATAAGCGTCGCGACGCTTATTAAATCCCAGTCCGAATGCGGTGCTTATTTGAGTAATTACTGTAATGTGCAACTTAAGAGTTTATTACATTTAGGACAAAATGTTATTATATTTAAGACTTTATTACATTTAGGGTCGTTTATTACATTTAGGCCTTCTACAAACAACAATGGACCAAGACAAGAGCCCTGTAGTAGACCAAAATGCATGTAAAACTTGTCAGATCTTATACCATCAATTACAATCTGTTGGAATAGACAAGATAAGTAGGAGCGAAACCACTCTAAAGCTGATCCACTAATCCCAACTTATTTTCGAGACGCTGAAGCAGTATTGAATGATCAATGGTATGAAATGCAGCGCTTAAATCCAGTAAGACCAGTAACATCACGTGTTTTTTATTCATGTTAAGTAGGATGTTAAAAACACGTAGTAAGGCTCTCTCGGTACTGTGGAATAGCCGGTAGGCTGATTGTAACTCAGGGAAAAGCCCATATGCCATCATGTGAGAAGTTGTTTGTTGAGCAACTGCTTTTCCGGGAGCTTAGACAATAACTGGAGACTGCTTACGGGCCGATAGTTCTTGCTTTCAATTTTCAGACCAGATTTCTTTAGCTTCGTTTGAACTAGCGCCCCTTTCAACACATCAGAAAATGACCCTGTTCAAGGGAGAGATTTATCATGGATGATATAGCAGGAGACAGTTCATTCAGACACTCTTTAGCGATAGCGGTAGGGAGCGGAACAATTTCACATGACTTTGATAGTCACTTGTGATAAGCGTCTTCACTGACTCCAATGAGAGAGTCTCAAACTTGGATAAGGCTGGGCGTTCCAGCAAATATGGTAGATCTGGCTGGTTAAGTGTAGAAAGTAGGGTGTCCGTATTAAGTGGGTTTAATTTACAGAAAATGTGTGCACTTTCCCCGGGGACAAAGTAAACTGTCCGTAATAATAAGGTGTCCGTATCAAGCGGGTGTCCGTAAAGCGGGGTTCGACTGTACTTACTCACTTAGAAAAAGTCCTCATTAGGTCTTTTAAGGTCAGTATTCGGGTAAAGGTGCGAGATTTAAAAAATAGAATTACGAAGACACACGGGACTTGAGGATTTTACGTTACTGCATTCGGGAAATGTCGTTTTACAGAACCAAGATCCGGTAAGGAAAGTGAGTTGCATTTTCTTAAAAGACGGGCGAAGAGAAGTTTTAGTTAGACTCCACTTTATCCTTCAACATAACGCGGCGATTAAGCTTTTTCTATCTGACTATCTGCCAGGGGTCCACTAATAAGAGAATCTACATGACCTGCAAGGCCTTTTTTAAGAGCTGTATGTTCAAGGTCGGGATAAGTCGATAATTACCGACGGGATTGCGGAATAAGGGGGGAATTTTTGTCGCAATGTCGAAAGCGAGTGCTACTGGTGCAACTATAAACAACCAAGACACCATGTGACTCTTGCACACCAGGTGATCTCACTTGTGACTAATGAAAAAGCAACGTTGTACTTAAATTTTTATGACTTAAAACTAAGAAAACAAAATGGTGTGCAGATCAGACGCGATAGACAAATACACACAGTAAAACTCTAAGCCATAAAGACAAAATGGCTATTCAAAAGTGAGGGGTCCAAGTTTCAGCAGGACAAGAACTATTCATGTGGTTTTGACAAGAAGTTCATCTATCCATAAAACCTGCATGAGGCTGGCTCTCGCTTAATACAACTTTGTTCTTTAGAAAATGTAGGCAAATAGATTTTTGAAGTTCTGACCCTCGTGTCTACAGAGCTTCCACTTAAAAGTGTGTGCGCACACACTTAATAGAGAAACCTCACGTCATATCGTATCAACGCTTACCTTGGTGGGCATAATCGCCATCTGCTTTTTCATTTCCCTTCGAGACACTTTCTCCCCTAAGTTCTGGACTCTACAAAGAGCTCCTTTCCCATGGTGATCACCATCTGATTCTGTTTCCTGTGTGTCCTCCTCATTGGTACTGTAAGGTGGTAAAGCCGCCTCAGCAGGGATCTCAGTAAACGTTGACAAAGTCTTAGACTTGACGCTCATCATTTTCACGGCACTGTGGTTTTTCAACTTGTTGTAGTACCCAGAGGCAGTATCGGTTACTTTGGCCTTGATCTATAGTGGTAAAAATTTGAAAGATTTTCTTTGCGCGTAGATGATAATAGAGACCGTTAGCATCAGGTTTTTCATAGAAAAACGCAAACCGCAAACCTAAGAATGTCATGTGACCACGGTCTTGGGGTCGCGTTTGCCGTTTGCAGTTCACGTTTAAACCGCAGGAAGGGTTTCCAGCGGTAAGTGACGTACAGCAAGGTTTTTTGCCACTAAAAATTGTACAGCCTCACGTTTAAAGGCATGAACTACTGTAGCTTCCTATATCCACCTGAGATGTGCTAGTTAGATCTTTGATCTCGAGTCAATGAATTCTTTATGTTTTTTGGGCGCAAAAACTTTGACGAAAAACAATATGGAGGTACTAAAACAATGAACGCCTTGCTAGAATTTGAATCCCGGCAACTTGAAACTGCAAACGCGTAACTGCAAACTGCAGTTTTCTGTTTGCGGTTTCCCATGAAAAACCTGATGGTAAAGGTGTCTAATATGAAGCTTGGCACTTCTTCGTTTGCATATATAGAAAGGGGAGCGAAAAAACTACAGCATCGCCCGCTAATCCCTTCAGCTTACGCAGGCTACTATTATAGAAACAGAAATCATAAGAAAGCGCTTAACGTGAAATAGAAGCTTTACCTCGGTCCAAATGGCCATTGAAATTTACTTTGCCATAAAGTAAAGACACGCGCAAGAATTTATAGTGCGGAATAGCTCAAAGTAAATGTCAATAAATACGAATTCAGTTGACTCAACAAGTTTTGCCTACCTTAAGAAGATCTACAGCCCGAAGAAATTGCACTGACAAATGCTGACGATAGGTTCTCAGTTTACGCTTCCAAACGCCTACCACGTATTTCCATAAACCTCAATATTTTTTAGTGAATCAACAACATGACCATTACGCAGAGAAAATTGGTGAAAATGACAACCTGCCATATTTACTCATAGGAACAGCAGTAAAACGCCCCTTCCAATCGAGCACATAAGCATACACAGTTTCACAAAACACTTAAAATCATTACGGTCTGCAGTTTCGCCGGGAAGGTGGGGAGCTTATTTAGAGACGGCGCTTTTTTCCAATAAATACCGTGGCAGTACTTTGTTTAGTTTGTGTCAGCAACTCTAGTTTAATTGCGGTCAAACAACAAGACACCAAATTACTGAGTCAGTAAAACGTACCTCATTAGGTGGCTTGGCGATGACAGGACACTTTTCTTCAACTTTAGCCAGTGCGTCTGATGCCACTCGATCAATAGTTGCAGCTAAAACCATTGAAATAAACTGACAATTAAATTAAATATCGAAAACTCCAAGCTACAAAAAAATTCAGCTAATGAGAACAAGACTAAGATATACCCGGGAAATCAATGTGGGAACTCTTATGAAGAAGGGCGAAAATTCTTTTAGTGTTTACTTTTGAGGGAAGTAGGTAAAGGAGAAACAGAGAGGAAAGCTACTACTACGTACCAAGTTTGCACATCGAAAAAACTCAATTAGAAAGGGATAATCTTTTGTTCATAAACAAAAGAAAAAGAAACAGCGATGCACTCAGCATTGCTTCTACGGGATTCCTTGTAAAGAATATATCGGGGAAACAGGGAAATGAATGCCTGAGGAACTTAGGGTATGTACAGCTGCCCAACTTCCTTCAAACAAAATCTCCCCGATTTTGTTAGAGGGGATGGGGCGGCTGTACACCGGCTAAAGAAACTTACATAGCACGACAGACATACATACTGTATACATACTGTGTCCAATATTTATTCACATCGCTTCAGAGATCAGCCTGTTTAAAAATGAATCAGCAGCCTCTTCGTCTTTAGGGAATGGAATATGCTCGTGGTAAAACAGCCATTGACAGTACACGTCATTGAAATGCATTACGATATAACGTCGGCGCTTCTCGAATGAGTAGACTTGTTATCTTGTTGAGACGAGCCCTCATCGCGCAGCATGCCTTATGTTCTCGGCAAATTTACTTTCTATTTCAATACGGGCTCTGAAGGGGACATAGAGAGTGTCCGTATTAAGCAGGTTGAATTTAGTGAGAATGCAAGGCTCTATTTCCCAGGGACAAAGCAAACGACTGTAATAGACCTTTTTACCGATACGGCGGCCATATTGAATTAATTCGATTTAAGGAGTATTATAGGATGGCCAGGCGGCATGAGTACATTTCGTTTGTATTTTCGGGCGCTTTCCGGGACATTTTTTCTTAACGTTTTCTTAGAATAAGATTGTAATGGCAAAAAAAATCCTTGCGCCGTGTTTGGATGTAATAATGATCGCCTTTTTCTAGTTTAGTATTAGAAATATGGTCTTTTACTGTATATTTCTCGGAGAAAAGCGCTCGAAAATACAAACGAAATGTGCGGATGCCCCCTGGACATCCTATAATACTCCTTAAATCGAATTAATTCAATATGGCCGCCGTATCGGTAAAAAGGTCTATTCCATTATATTAATCAGATCTGTTACTCTCCAGGGTATTTATATATTTTAACAGCTTTTTGTACATGCATGTCCCCCTCTCTTCTGGTACATGTAGGCTCCCCTGTTTAACATCTGTTATATCACACGTTATTATTCACAGACACTATGATTTCGCTCAAACTATTGGTTGCCTTAAACGCACGACTATGCTTATTTTATAATTTGATATAGGCGACAAACTAAACAATGAATGTAGCCCTGGATGTAGTACACTATTATTTCTCGTTTTGTTTCGCAAATTCCTATCCAAATGTATTTACATATTTCGTAGCTAAAACATTTTAGAAACTCACTTTGTCTTTATGTAGAGTAAACTGCAGAAAAGAACTTCATTTGGCTTTTATTTAGTAGCTTTAAAACCTGTCCTCTATTTTAGTAGACCTGAGCTGGCGTCAAAGAGCTTTTTCACATGACAAAAGCACGTTCGTCATATTGGTGTTCCCCCCGAAAAAAGGACGGCCATGTTGGTGTCCCAAACCAATCTTGTGGGAGTTGAACCTCTTCGTGTGCGCAAAACTTGCCTTTGTTCCGAAAAATTCGCATAGCTGTTGGCCACGTGAGGGAAAACGCTCTATTCCAGTGCCATTGACATATTCCAGACAGGGGGTGACAATGGAATTTTGTCAACAAGTGTAAGCATTGAAAGCATTCAACTAAGTCGGGCGATTTTAATAGAAAGGCCAATGTTCAGTGGTTCTTCTTCAATTGAGAATTAAGGTCGTTGATCACTTGCACGTTTTACATGGGTCGCCATTAGTTTCGATAAGCTTATCGCTGCGTGCAGATACAATATTCAAGTAAGCCCAATTATGCAAACCGTTGAAGCGAGCGTGTGTTCGCTTTCTCTTTTTATTTCATTTTAATTTATTTCATTTTATTGCTTCCATCTCTGATACATTGTTTGCCTTATTATATCATAGACTCGTTACCATATTTTCTTTGCGATGATGGAGTCTATAGAAGAGCAAAATACCCTGCAATGCTTGAAATTATAGTTCCCTTTAAAACTGAGGTCAACTGCAACTTAGCTAGATTGTCACCATTATAACAGAAGTAATGATGAGAAATAATATATAACAATTATTCACCGACTTGGAGGTGGCTAGTGCTGGATGGGTAGTATTTACCTTGACGCGAAGCGACGAGGTAAATACCACCACTAGCCACCGACACTGAGGTGAATAATTGTTTTGGTATATACTAAAACAGTGAGATAATTGAGCTCAAAATGATGCTTTTTACCTCATTTACTGTTGCCAACGATTACAATTTTGGCGCGCAATGACCGAACGGCGCGGCCGTCGCTTTTTCTTGCCGACAAATAAAACATTTGAAGACACTTGTCTAGCTCTTGCGGGGAAATTTCTTCAAAAGGAGTTTTGAATTCTTTTTGCATTTAAAATCATTCTGTAAAAAAGATCATTAAATTTAGTTTTAATCTTATTTATGAACAAGTCAAGTGAATAAAGTAACGCAAGACTTAGGCTTAATTTGCATTTGTAAACAAAAAACTTTTTCACCGGTTTCATCGATAAATTCAAGTCAAAAAGACAAAGCTTTACCTGTTAAAACTTCCAAACCCAACTTCGTCAACTTCTTCGTGTATTTCGGGAACAACTTGATTATTTTTGAAATTTCTTTGTTACTTACGGCAGCAAATCGGGAAGGCATTTTGCTCGCAACTTACGCGAGCTTGGCGACGCTCGCTCGGAGGAACTGGAAGTGAATCAGTGAATAGTATAGGATAGTCACTGATTGAGTAGCCAATCAGAGCGCGCGAAAAACACAATCCACTGTTTTAGTATATACTAAATAGATTTATCCAGGGCTAAAAGCGAAGCTCTCGATAATATTCTTAGTTTGTTCATCAAAATATAAGACAGCGTAATGTTAAGAGGCGAAGGCAACGAAAACGGTCAAACTTTGTAAGCCAAACTTTTCTTGTCAAAAGTCCAAGATTGCTTATAGGTAATCAAATGGTATACTCGTGAAATTAGGGAATATTTTTACTTGCGTTTTGTCCAAATCCTAATAGTTTCCCAAGCCTTTTCATTTCCCTCGCCTAAAGGCTCGGGAAATTATTAGGATTTGGACAAAAAGGCTCGGGAAATTATTAGGATTTGGACAAAACGCGCGTGAAATTATTCCCTAATTTCACTCGTCACCATTTGATTACACATACTAATTCTCTTGAAAATAATCAACGAAGCAATAAAATTAAACATTATATTATTTTTTATTAGAGGGAAGATTTGCCACTGCCGTTTTGTTAATTATATTTCTTTTGATGTACTCCTTAAAAAACTGTAAGGATTTGATCTTACGTGTTTTGTTATCCATATACTGTTCATATTTTTGGACTTTGATAGGCCAATGAGTACTGTACATTTTCTATACTGAACTTTAGCTATACTCATGATCCTTTCGAGTCACAAGAAAAAGAAATCAGCTGAAACATATATTTTCCCTAGAGAAATTGACTGCAACGCAAACAACTTAAGACCACCATCATACTGCAGTGACCAGAAGAATTACGAAAATACCGAAGAAAATGAGGTCCTTTCGCCTAAAAGTCGATTCGCCTAATGGCGCTTCGCTCAGACTCAGGTCGATTCTCCAGATTACATAGAACATTCTACATCATGGTGAATGTTCTAATCAGAAATGTTCTTTAGTTAAGCTTGGATCCCACGTGTGCAGTCGCCGTCTTTTTAAGCTTATTCTTAATAGAAGCCAAAAGAGCGACAAAAACAGAAGAGGCGAATCGACTTAATTCCGAGCGAACTGAATCGACCTTCATGCATTGAAACGAACAGATTGCACCAAAGAGTTGTTTTTACGTACCTGCACTTTCAACTTTCTTAACGATAGGCTTGGAAAGCGGGAATGAATTTGCTCCTTTAATGATTGGTTTGGTGACAGTAGAAGCGATCTGAATCGTTTTTTCACCTGCAGTACATGCCATTCTAGTCACAAAATTGCGCTCTTTCGCTGAACTGTAGAGTCGAGAAGCGTGCTCGACACCGGCCATCACTACCGGTAATCCAAACAGACGCGTCGCAAATGATTTGGTCTCCATATTTTGAGCTATTTGAGCCTGTGAAGACAACCTTTCAAGCGATGTAAGAAGTTAAATCAACGCTGAGAGAAAATAATCCCTGTTATTGGTACACTTTACTGCTACGATGTGACTCATCTGATCAGACAGTGAACAAAGGCACCATGCGGAGGCTTTGGGCATGGGTTACAGTATCCAGCCAAGCCTTGATCTGATATTTCATCGTGTTCCTTACTGGATTGTCTGCTTTGGAATACCGCTAGGCAGTATTGTACCGGCATTCCATCCCTTTGAAATATGGGTCTAGAAAAAATGAACAAGCCGGCAATGTATAGTTCTTCCGGGCAGGATCCCATCACATAGCCTGGGGAAAGCCGCCACCTCCCCTCAACAAAATCGGGGAGTCTCTCCCTCACTGGCAAAATATCTGTCTTACAACTGCTCAGCGACTTTTAAAAAATTGTCCTGCTCCCGCTCCCGCCCCGCCCCCGCCACCGTCACTAACACTACTCGTGTACGGCAAGGAGCGAACGCGAACGATTTGACGTTTGAGTTAGAGGGGTGGGGTGGGAGGGAGGAGGCTTGGCGGACGGGGGAGTTAAGAAATTTATACTTGATGTATCCTTAGAAGACTGATCTCTTTTCATTGATAAAAGGCAGATATTTTCTTTTAGTCGCACCAATAGTAAAGAGTGGTGTTTAGGCTTCTCAAATTTTTGTG